AGTGGGGAAGCCAGCAGGAAGTTGCAAGTCCCAGGCCAGCAGGCAGGTAAGTGATTGATGTTGAGTGGGGGAGAGAACAAGGGGGTGCATGGGGGTGAAGGAAGAGTATCTGAGGGTGCACAAGAGGGTCAGGGAGGATGCGCAAGAGTGTGTGGGGGGAGGGAGGGTGCACAAGGGTGAGAAGGAGGGTTGGGGAGGGTGCACAAGGGTTGGGGAGGGTGTGTGGGTGGGGGAGACTTACCCCAGAAACCTGCGACCTTCCCTGCCAGCTTTCACATTGATTTTCTAGGGAGGCCGGCAGGGAAAGTGGAAAATGGTGATCACGTGATCCTGGGGTGCTTGGCAAAGTATCCAGATTGCGATCACATGACTGCAGGGATGATAGGACAGATGGCACTCTGAGAATTGATTGTAATCACCATTTGTTCAGCACCGTTGTAATTTTGAAAGGTCTCTGAACGGGTGGTCGTTGGCTGAGGACTACCTGTATTTATTTTTTACTTTTACTCTTTCTATGATGAAAGCACAAAAAGGCAAATCTATTTAAATCCCATAATTGAGAAAATTGCAGAATCTTGCTTTGCTTTCTTAAGGTACAGAATGGGCTTGCCCTAAAGATGAATACTTTGCCTTACAGACAATATATTCCACTTTTATTGAGTGTTTAGGCATGCAATCTCCTTTGTCCAATTAATAAATTGTAAAGCAGCTTCAGTTTTCAGGGCACCAACAAGATATGCTTGAATGCCCCCGCCCACCCAGCAAGTTCTGAAACGACACATGAGACAAGAAGGCAGAAAGTGCCTAAAGCCACGGGAAGTTCAGGCATATCCACCTCTTACATACTTCATGAATAAGCTTTCAAATCTTCTGCATGGCGCCTGCATGTGGGCAGGATAGAGGGGCGTCCAGAACACTGGAAGCGCGTTTTTGCTGCTAGGCCTTTGCTTTGATGATACTTGATGCAAAAGACTCCTTCAAAGCTGCTTTGCAAAGCAACAAAGCACCTTTTTTTCTAAAAGCAAAGCAAAGCTAGCTAATGGTACTGCTCTGAGGGTAACCGTAACACCAGACATAGTTAGGGAAGCAATATGAAAGAGTACGCATAAAATTAGGGCTAGATTTATGCCTTACAGTAAATCATAATATGATTGATGTGGTTTTGATTTGCTATACTATATAAACATAACTTGTATGGATGGGTGAATCATTATATATGGTTTAATGTATTCTACGAACCTGTCTAATAGATGTTGATAAACTGGTTAAGCAAATCATGATATAGTATAATTTATAAATGCAGGGTATGGATAACTCATTTCTCTTCAATAGAGAAACGGGCTAGCTAATGACCAATTATTACAACCAGTGACTAGATTCACACATCAATTATGGTTTGTTGAGCAATCTACAGCAAGCTAGCATGAGGTGTTAAACCCAGCCACTTAATTTCTGTTTGTGGTAATTGCTGAACAGGGATGGCATGGCTGGTTAGCCAGAAAATAGGCACAGGTGGGATCCTTTCCTTAAAAATGCAAAATCAACAACAACTTCAAAGCAAATGAAGTTGTTAAAAAAAAAGAAAGATATTCTAAACATCCAAAGTAGCAGAAAGAAGAGAAGAGAAAGAAAAAGAATTCTAACTCTTGCAAAAATCATTTGCTCTAGTCCCTGACTTTCACCTTGGTTCTGTCAGCAAAACACCTACACACCAAGAAATGCAAAGGTCAGGATCACGATTTGTATCAGGTAACAATAATAAAAATACCCATGGAGTCAAAACGTGGGTGTTACAGGAAACATGGGTCAGCATGTCAGCAAAGTTAAATACAGGAAGCATGATGCAACTGGCCCTGAGAGAGAGGGAGGAGGAGGAGGGCTGGAGAAACTTTCTGTATTTGCAGACAAAGAGCTTAGGAAGAATGCTGAAGCTTCACCAAAGATCCCCCCAAATCATTTGAAAAATATGGATGCCATGAATTCAGCCTTGTGGAAGGTGAAGAAAATGACCCAAACAGCTTTACAAAAAAACAACAGCTATTTCAGTTACAAATGCTAATCTTAGACAAGATGTGGAGGGAAATAACATTTGGCTGTTCAAGAAGCCATCAGGGCTATTTGCAGTTAAAAAAAAAAAAAAAAAGCATGCTGTCAACTGTTTTAAAAACTTTGGTTCAGACATTGGAAAAGAGCACCGTAACAGGAAAATAACCAAAAGGAGAAGTAAAATCTCTTTACATTTTACATGGAACAATGAAAACATGGAAAAATGAAAAAGTCAGATCAGAGGAGTGTCCCAGGAAAGAGAGTCCAGTATATGGAGTGTCACCACCGTAAGCTTATGTTTTTTGTTATCCTGGGCTCTGTAGGAGCACTCTGAAGCAGGTCAAAGCACCCAGTTGGTTGAAATGGGGAAATTATTTCTTTAAGACCCCTGTTCCATACTGTGTAGGTCCTTGATGGTAAGCACTAGCCTTTGGATATGTGTTCAGAACCAGATCAGGAGGCTACTGAGTCCCTTAAATGCTGGCCTAATATTTTCTTTTCTTTGAGCTCCAGTTAACAATCGTGCAGCTGTATTTTTCAGTGGCAAGTGGTTTTCAAGCAGTGTTTAAATGTGGCTCGGTACAAAAGATGCAGTATCCTAACTTGAAGAGCACAAATAAATGTCTAAATTAGCTATATGTTTATACAATTTGCAATGCCAAGGCTATCTACAGTTAGCTGGAGAAAGAATATGAAAACATGAATTGACTACTGGGTACAATTTCCAGCAGTACCAATCTTCTAATTCTGATTGCTCATAAGAGACATTGTAACCAAAATGTTTCTGCTGTATTCCAGATTTGTTGTGCTTAGAATGAATGGAATTAATCCAGTAGTTGTGCAACATCCAGGGATTGTGGTTGTGTGAGAAAAACAGCCCACTATATGTCAGATCTCATGGCAAACCATGTTTCCTAATCTTACTTCAGACACACCACTTGTTATCTTTGTTTGGATTATAATATCATTCAGATATTGAATTTGACCATAAAATTTCCCAGTTCTTCTTTGAGTTCACAGGTCCATGAAACATGCTTTTCCAGCCTGTGTTAGACCACTTATGGAAATTGCACTGGAGAATTATTAACCATTGAATTATAAATATATTTCTGCATGTTATTTTTCATGCATGTTGGAATAGATCTCATGCAACTATATAACCTTTATGTAGGTAGGACCAGAGATTATACAGTGATAATTCTGATTGAGCTGTCTTCTGTTTGTAATAGTGTATGAAGTTTTAAAACAGGTCTTTGGTTGTGTTTAGTTCAGTTCATCAGAACAATCAAAAGCCTAGCTTACATAATATTGGAAAGACAAACACACAGAATAAATCAGCCAATATATAACTTAACTCCCAAAACAAATGTTAAA